GTCCAGGCCAGTGGCAGCCAGCTGAAGCCCATTTTAAAAGTGACAGCAAGAGATGGAAACTGTGATCCGTTGCTATGGCAACACATTCCAACAGCACATCTGTTTTCCGATTTGAACTTGCCTGTCCTCACACTCCTGGCCATTTGCTCTTCTATGAAACCCTTACCTAACCCCACCTTCAATCAGGGCTAGCACCTGTCAGTGATCGGCGGTGCTTAAGCATCTTATACCCGCTGGTGAAAATCCTGCCTCCTTTTCCCAAGCACAAGAGCCGTAACCACCCACTCCCAGGCACAGGCGTTCGGCTGCTGGCCGAGCTGGGGACAGGCAGAGCCATGTGCTGCAGAGGCCATCAGCCACCAGCGCGATGGGTGAGCACACGCCCGCTGCTTCCGCCCCACGATCCCAGCCTGCTATCCTGGGAACTGAGACACCCTGCCAACAGCTGCTGGGCGAACCAGGCTGGAAGCACGTCAGTCCCATACCGGCACCCCCACCCATTCCACACGGGCACCCACAGTGTTTCCGCTCTGGTCAAACTACCACCATCTCCACACAAACGGAGTCACTTCTTTCCCGGCCGCTCTCGCCACGTCCGTAGAGCCATTTGCTCACTTTTCCTTAGTCAAGCTGGTGAAAAGCACTGGCTGCTGAGCCCTTTCAGCACAGACCATCAGTATCCTCCAACGTGCAGGGTTTTCAGAGACTGAACGGACTTGTCCTCTCGGCCCCGGGAAGTGGAACCCCCCCCACTTTTTCTTGCATCAGCAAACGTACGGGATTCGGTTGGTTTTGAGATTGTTTCCTGTCTTCCTGCCCAGTGAATCGCCCACATGAATTCCAGAGCACGGAAGACTATCCCGGAAGGGAGACACTCAACACAGAACATCAGCTCCAACCAGCCTGCCTGAGCTCTCTCCAGACCATCGCTGCCGGCTCCGTCCCATGTGCCTCAGGCTGCCACGGGTGTGACAAGAGCTGAACTCACCCCACGTCCAGAGCAGCAAACCCTCACCCCTGCCCAGGGCTCATCCCCAGGCTCCAGCCCAAGGGCAGCGTAAAGCACATGGACAGAGGGGCTGGGGGGCAGGTGCCTCTGGAGATCAGCCCACTCGGGAAGCACCCAAAACCAGCACCCAAACCTGGTGGCCTGAGACCTTGGCTGAGTGTGTTCTGAGTATCCCCAAGGACCGAGGCTCCACAGTTTCTCTGGACCGTCTGTGCCAGTGCTCAGTCAGTAACATTACGGGGAGTCTTTATTCCTGTTTAAACAGTTTTCCATGCTTCCCTTCATGCCTACTGGCTCTTGGGCCTTTCACTGGGCACCACGGAGAAATGTTGGCCTCTGCCTCCCTTACAGCCTCCCATCAGGTATCTGTGCACATCACAATCCCAGAATGCCAGGGGTTGGAAGGGACCTTTGGAGATCCCAGAATGGTTTGGGTGGGAAGGGACCTCCGAGGCCCCCCAGCCCCACTCCCTGCCATGGGCAGGGACACCTTCCACTAGACCAGGTTGCTCCAAGCCTCATCCAACCTGGCCTTGGACACTCCTGGATCACGAAGTCCACCCCTCCTTCCCGAGCACAGCGACCCAGAGCAGATGGCACAAGAACGCATCTCGGTGGGTTCTGGCTATGTCTGGAGGAGCCCCACAACCTCTGGGCAGCCCGTACCATGCTCTGGCACCCTCAGAGAAAGGAATTTCTTCCACACCTTAACATGGAATTCCCTGGGTTCCAGTGTGTGCCCGTTGCTCCTTGTCCTCTCACTGGGCACCACTGGATAACCTGGCCCAGCCCCTTGCCACCCCCTTTAGATACAGATGAGCACTGACAAGACCCTCCCTGAGCTTTCTCCTCCCCAGGCTGCTTGGGAAGGCAGAAAAAAGGCAGACTCGTACCTTGAGGGAACTGTAAAACTCATCCAGCACTAAACTCATGGAGCGAGTCAGGTTACTGACGTAGGATGTCTCTTGATTTAAGGCGTCCTGGAAAGCCTCGAAGTCCTGCATCCACTCTACTGCGAAGCTGTGGTCGATGATGTCCGTCTGGAGGGAGAAGAGACTCTCAGAGGTCACGCTGCGGAGTCCCAGCCCTGCGCTGCCAAGTCGCCAGTGAACAATGGCCACTCACCAAACACCGACCTTCGCAGGACACTCAGCCCTGGCCTGAGGTTTTCCAAGCTCTCTGTGTACCAAACCATCCCCCTGAATTCAGGGAGAGGAGCCCAACCACCACTATCCTGGTTTAAGGCCTGTTTAAGGGAACAATTGCAGGTCCAAAGGCTCCTGTGCTTTGCTGGGAAGGGGCGCCCAACAATCCCGAAGAGCGCCGGGGGGGCTTCAGCCTTCCGGGAGATTATTTCCTTCGCAGAGGGGAGTTTCCCCACTGCAAGCCTTTTGCTGCAGAACTGGCCACCAGCGCCTTCCCAGTGTGCTGACCCAGGGAGAAGGGAGCAGGTACTGGGACCTGCCAAGTGCACGAGCAGCACCAGCCCGCGGAAGAGCAGGCCAGGACGTGCGGCTGGAGCACACCCCACGCCACCCCTGCCCGGCCGGCACGGGGTTAGAGCCACTCAGAGCATGGGACCCGGGGGGGCACACAGAACACAGAAGCACAACAGCTTCCATGCTGGGGCAACTCCCAGCAGGACCAAACGCCTTCTGCTGCATCCTGCCCGCTGCACTGCACGGGGCTCCTTCCCACACCAGGCAGCAGCCAGCACGCGGAGCAGGACCGACTCCCCAGCAGGACACGTGCCCGAGCAGTGGCGGCTGCGGGAGCCCCGGCGCAGAGTGCGGGAGCCCCAGCGCAGAGCTGCTCCCTTACAGCCCAGGGCTGAGGTGCAAAGCGCCTCTGAGTCACCTGAGCGGGGGGCAGAGGGGGTGTCGATCCCTTTTCCCAAGGGACAAGCAATGGGACAAGAGGAAACGGCCTCAGGTTGTGCCAGGGGACATTTAGGTTGGATATTGGGGAATCCGTCCCCGGAAAGGGCTGTCAGGGTTGGAAGGGGCTGCCCAGGGAGGGGGGAGTCACCGTCCCAGGAGGGGTTTCGGAGCTGTGTGGATGTGGGGCTCAGGGACATGGTTAGTGGGGGCTGGGCAGTGCTGGGGTAACGGTGGGGCTGGGTGGGCTGAGAGGGCTTTTCTAGCCAGAACGATCCCGTGATCTCTAACTGGAATTTCTGGGTGAACTGTCCATCCCCGATTCTCCCCAAGCGCTTGGTCACCACGTTAAGGACCCTTTCAGCCTGCAGCTCCCTCCTGGGAGCTCTTTCCTAGACCAGCTACTGCAGGACAAGGGCTTACAGCAAAGCAGGTTCAACAGGGCCCCGTGCCCAGGCCACGGGAAGCACAGCCCCGACTCACCTTGTTCATGACGACGATGAAGGGCAGCTTTGTCTTGTACAGGATGCTGGGGGAAGCAAACACACCCTGAGCCCTCGTCGCAGCACAAGGGAAAGGCCCCGACTTGTACGAACCCCACACATCTGGCTTCCAAGAACCATTTCCCCCGCGTCAGTCAGCGTGACATCCGCCCAGCTCCTGCTCAGCAGAGCTGGACAATTGCCCCGGGTGCGAGCACACGCCTGCAAGACAGAAACTCCCTTTCCCCAGGCCCCGCTGATGCTCAGCTCCGGTTCCGTGAGCCTCGGCCCCAGTTTCTAATGCCCTTTGTGTGCTGCCATTCCCATCACTCCAGCCCCAGGCACGCAGTCCCTGCTTAACGTGAAAGAAAGGGGGCAAATCCGTGCACGGGGAGGGGGACGACCAACCACGAACCCCGCGCTGTGCCGACCCCCAGGCCCAGCCGGAAGGATTGCTGACCCACAGAGCGGAACATCGCATCTTCTAGGGAGCTCCAACCAGGCAGTCCGGGCGCAGCTGAGGTGAACGGCTTTGTGAGCAACGGATCTGCTGTCCCCACCCCTCTCACACCAAGGTCTCACGGGTGATTTCCTGTTCCTGGGGGCAGCTGTGACCCAGTGACTTCCAGACCCCAAATTATTCTGCCTCTTCAGTGGGAAACCCACGGAGACAAGGAACAACAGAACCAGTACATTAGGTGTGTGAGAGGCACCAGTGAGTGCTGGCAGCTCCAAAAGCTGCGGCATCCTGGGCAGCACCAAAGGAACCATGTCCCGCACGCCAAGGGAGGGGATTCTCCCCAGCTCCGCTCCCACGAGACCCCGTGAGGGGCACTTCAGCCTCCTCTGAGCCTGCGGTATGGGAAGGACACGGCCTTGTTAGAGCGGGTCCAGACAAGGGTCATGGAAACAATCCAGGGCTGGAACGCCTCTTCTGGGAGGACGGGCTGGGAGCTGGGGGGGCGTCAGCCTGGAGAGGGGAAGTTCCAGGGACGCCGTACTACAGCCTTTCGGTATTTAAAGGGGGCTTAAGAAAGACCCTAACCCTAACGCAGTAACAGGACAAGGAACATCCAGCAGAGCATAGGGTCAGACGGGACATCAGGAAGGAATTTCTGCTGACGGAGGTTGTGAGACGCTGGAGCAGGTTGCCCAGAGAAGCTGTGGATCCCCCGCCACTGGAATTGTTCAGGGCAGGTTAGCTGGGGCTCGGAGCAGCCTGACCTAGGGAAGCATGTCCTTGGCCACAGAAGCGCTGGCCTCGGTGGCCTCTAACGGTCCCTTCCAGCCCAAGGCACACTGTGATTCCTGACCCAAACAAGGCTCCAAGCGACACAGCCATGGGAGCAGGTGGGCTGCGGCGCCAGCTGCCCTTACCTGCAGGCGTAGAGCATGTTGGACATGAAGGTGACGGGGTTAGTGCTGCGGGAGGTGTCCATCACATAAACAACCACCGAAGGGAAGGAGGAAGCCTGGGATCACAAAGCACAGGACATTTTCACCCGATGCCGTTCAGCCGCCCCTCTGCCCACAGCCTCACAGCCAGGTCAGGCCGCAGCCGCTCACCAAGGCCTCGGTTATGATTGTTCCTGACGCCGACCAGGTGAACACCTCGATCTGCCCCGGCGTGTCGATGATCACATACCTGCTGGGGAGTCACCCCGGCACACAGCGGGGAAGAGCAGTTAAGCACAAGGCCCTGCTCCAAATGGGATGAGCTCGAGCAAAGCACAGATCCTTGTCAGAGAGCAGAGAACCTTCCCCCAGTGACGAGGTGCACAGGGATGCCCAAAATCGCCTGGAGTGAGTTCAGTACCCGAGGAACATGTGTTGCTCGGTCTGGCACAGCTGAGCTCAGCATCCCGACAGACAGGCAGCACCGCTCGGTCTGGCACGGCTGAGC